ACTTCATTGCTGCTTTAATCCCAGCTCTGCGATCTAAAATGACACAAATTTTTTCCCTCGTGATAACATGTGCACGTAAGTTTCGGAGGAAAAAAACCCAAGAATCTGTATCTTCTCCTTCAACAAGAGAAAAACAATTGAAAGAATGTTGTGATTGCCATCTTGGACAACTGTCAATTATAAAACTTGCTTGTATTTTCCATACAAGAAAGTCCCGTCGATCTGGACCACAGGCTTGCAATATTTGACAGCATTAACGTATTGTGGGTAAGTCCAAAAAACCCGGTAGAATTGGCATCGATCGTGAAGAACTCGATCATTATGGTATGCATAGGAGGTTTCAAAGTCCACAATTATCCCATGATTCAACCTCTGCATCAGCCTAAACCAGCCTGGAAGTTCGTTATAAGATGTATCACATTCGCCATGAAGTTTGACAATGACATTTTGTTTTACCAACCAAGCTTTTTTATAGGAGACAGTGTACCCATACTGCGATTGTATAACTGAAATCAACACAGCAACAACTATATGAGAGTTTACTTTTACTAGGGGTGTAAACGAGCCGAGTCGAGCTCGAGTATTGCTGAGCTCGACTCGACTCGACTCGAAAACTCTGAAATGGAGCTCGACTCGACTCGAAAACTCGTGAGCTTAAAATTTTTAACTCGAACTCAAAATCTTGAACTGAAGCTCATGAGCAGCTCGAAAAGGCTCGAAATGAAAAAAAAATCTTAAACTTAACAAGATTGAATCCTCAAACTCAAACTCAAACCTGAACCTTAAATACATGAAAACCTTATTGTATTTTTTTAAAAAATCAACACATAAATGTTAATATTATAAATAATTTATTTTTTTTTTAAAATAAAATCTTAATATATTATATTTTCGAGCTACTCACGAGCTTTTCGAGTCGAGTATCAAGTAGCTCATTTCGGCTCGTTAAGAATTCGAGTCGAGATCGAGTTCGAGTCGAGTCCATTCGATCTGAGTATTTATCGAGCATGGACCGAGTCGATCTCGAGTAGCTCGCGATTTGTCTCATCTCATTTACAGCCCTAGCTTTTATCATGGGCATGATGGCTTGACATATCACTTCAGAGTCCAAGTTGGGATGATCTTGGTTGACCTCTCCAGCACAACATGTGAGAGGACCGTTGTATACTGTTAGTTCCCATTTGTTGTTTTTCCTCTTCCTCTTCGATACATGAACCATCTAATTACATCCGTTTTCGCGTCGGGCATAGTAGCATACATATTTTTCTGTCGTGGAGTGGTCGACTCTCGATTGAACATAATTACGTATATTGTAATTTTTATAGCCATCATCGCTTATTCTTTGCTTGAAAACTCCATGCCTAAAGATAACTCACCATTATTTATTGATGAGTAATATCCATAATTACCGAGATGAGGCATATCCGTAAATTCTGGCCCGTATATTGCACCATAATCAGCTTCATACATGTGTGCTGAGGGTCAGTTTGTGCCACATTTAATGGAATTTCATCTACATTATCATCATCATCGGAGTTGAATTGCGGTGATTATGGGTGAATGAATAGTCCAGTCTCAGTACCATCCACACCAGGATCACGAAGCGGTTCTTCTGGTGGAGATAATGGTTCCTCCATGCTCTCCACATTTAGGTCGAAGAACCTACTACTTGCACGTCTTCCCCTTGAACTAGAAGGAATATCGACAATATCGACATTGAAATCGAAAAAGCTCAGAGTGGAATGCCTCCCCCTAGAGCTTGAAGCCATCGTGTCAAATAAAAACTACACAGATTGTTGCGTCGGTGGCATCTCCATATTAAGGTCAAAGAAATTTGCAGATGAATGCCTTCCCTTTGAACTGGACGCAATGTTTCCATACGGATTGTTCGTGGACCCACCTCGGTACATATCGTAAGGAGTTGCGGATGAATGTCTCCCCATTGAAGTTGATGTGACGACACCATGATGCAGATTTCCCATCATGGCGTTAAAATCATTACACATTACTGTAGTCAGGCTGTCAACTTGATCAACTTGTTCAGCCAACCCATAGTGGGAGCTTAATGTCTGACCCGAACAGCATGCACTTGAACAAACTTTGCATACATCTCAATATCGTCGTCTGAATAATTACTTTGAGAATCAGCCATCATTTCAACATCATCATTGTTTGATAGTTCGAACGTTATATAAGTTAATGGCAACAATGATGTTGGAAATTTGTACTGCAACGACGACATTATTCTACTACTTCCAACATGAACCTTCCTCGAAATCTTCGTTATCAGCTCCTCAAGAGTTTTGTTTCTCTTGAATGATATTTTAACACGCTCATTTGATATGAAAACAACGTTGGTTTCATCTTCTTAAATTTCTCCATCATAATAAACAATAGTTGAAAGTCGCGACATTCTTAGAGTTTAAAAGTGCGACAATATTATATCTGTAAAAAAACAATTGAAACAAACCTGATTAAATAAATAATATATGAACGAAAATATAACACAATAATTTTTTTACACATAAACGTAAATAATTTAAATAATATAATTTTATATTATTACCTGCACCGCAAAAATATTTCGACGTATGCTCACGTTTTCCCCTTGATATAGCATAGAAATTAATTGAAAATAATTACTATAATATTTTTCAAATAATCATAATAAACAATAAGTATAATAAAAAAATATTTTAACAAAATTACTTTATAACGAAAGATTGAACGAACTTTTGAATCAAATATAAGAGGATTGTCGGGTGTTATTTACTGGTTGAAAGGATTGTTATATTAATTGTTGAGAGGGAATTATGAGAGAGTTTACAGGGAAAGGGTTATTTATAGCCGAGAGATGATGCTTTAAAGTCGAGAGGTCCAGGTAAATTATGCAAGGCGCAGTCCCTGCATCGCGCCTTGCATTATGCTTGTCTGATAATCGCAGTCTCTGCCCCACACTATAGCCCTACATGGCGTAAGGCGCGCCGTAGGGGCCGCGCTTTAGACACGTGTGTCCATGTCAGCATAAGGCGCGCCCCCTGAAGCGCGCCTTACCCCACGTGGCGCCTGATCAACGTAAAGCGCGGGACAGGTGGCGCGCCTTACTGCAAAGAGTGTTAGATTGGGAAAAATAGTCTAAAGGGTGCCTGACAGGAAATTAAAGAGGAAAAGGGTGATTTATCGGGAAAATCGCCTACTAAAAATAAAATAAAAAATAGTTTTTTTTAGTGTGTCATTTATCTTTTTTTGTCTTTAATATTTGACGGTGATATCAATTTTAATGTTAGTTATCGATTGTCGGTATTATTTATTATTTTTTATATTGTATATTTATTTTCTTTTTTTTATTCTCAATAAGATTGCATATGTTGTACGTTTTCTTATGTCTTTATGACACTTTTTTTAAAAAAAAATTTGGGCATATTTTTTTATTTCTTGGTCATATTTTTATTTATCTTTTTTCTAAGTGTTGATTTGACATAGTCACAACTAATCAAGATGGAGCTTATATAATATATTGTGCTCTTCCCTGTTTTGGACCCTCGAATTAGATTTGAATACCTGATTTACATTTGTGGATAACTTTTCATGTCGCTCGAGTCTGATTTATAGTTTGTCGGGGTCTTTCAATAGTTTGATCTATTTTTGTAGTTTATTTGTCGATGCGATCATATCTCTTTGTATCTATCTTTGTTCGAGTTTTTTGTTATATTTAATCTTTCATTATATGATCTTTATTTGATCTTAAGTTGATAGTTATGTTTCAATGATTATAAATTTTTTTTCTAATTATGTGTTTAATTTATGATTGTGATTGTAAATCTTTATTGTAATTTGAGATATTTTCTATTTTAAATATAATTAGTTGTTTCTTTCAAAAAAAATTTATATAACATTCGTTTACTATTTGTTGATATATGTTATATCGGTTTGTTTATATTAACGATCAAATTTATTTATTGAATTGTTTATTTGTGTTTATGAATAAGTTCGTTTACTCGATTCATTTATACCCCATGAGTGACTTTTTTTACTTAAATATTATATTTAATAATATTAAGTTATTTTAATCTAATGTAATAACAAAATTAGTCTCTACTATTTGTGCAAATAATTATTTTATCTTTTATTTTTTAAACATTTTATTTAAAATAACTCTAGTATGATAATAATTATTAGTTAATTAAATATCAACATATATTATCGGCATAGTAATTTTACATATATTTAATTGATGACGTAGTATACATTACATCATAATTTTATAACGTGATATGCACTACATTATTATCTTAAACGATAAATTAATATCATCAGTTGTTTACAATTTATCTCTTTTAATTTAAAAAGAAAAAACCAAATCGAAACTACCCAGACAATTATTTGAAGCTTTAGAACAGTAATCTTTTGAGTGGCAGTAAGCATACGACTCTCAGCCAGATGTGAAACCAGAAACCGAAACAAATAGATTGCTTACAGTTTAAATGAGAATCTCAAACTCACGTAAGATCCTTGGCTTTTGTCTTTTGTCTTTTGAATTGAATAGATGAGAAAGATAACCTCGTTGCAACGTTAACAAATCAACATGTTTAAATAGAATAAAACGAATTTATTAATATATCAAAAATTATATAAAAATAAATGTTTTAAATATGATAATTTGTTTAATCTCCACTTGTACCTGCAGGCATCGAAAACCCCAAAACATAAACAAATGTGGAATAGCGTGACTCGGATTCTCCAAGTCGAAGAAAGGAGGAAGAAACAAAAGAGACAAAAACCTGCACTCATACATTAGGTTCCATGGTGTTTGTCACCGAAAAAGCGTTTTGATTGGATCGTAGATCAATGATTCATATAATCTATGAACCTGGACGGTGGTTATTCTACTTCCACACGTCCAAGGCAGAATCAGATACTGCTCCTCTTCTTGCCACCTGGTACTCTGTCCCGTCATGGTGTCTTGTCTGTAAAAACCTGTCCCTCTTTCGTCTTATGTTTCAACTAACAACAAACGCAAGTGCTCTCTCGTCGTTACCATCTTTATAACTTCACACGTTCTCTCAGTTCTTTGGAAGCCAACATTCAAAGCATGAGTCGTTTCTGGACTTTCCTCACAAGCCTTCATTCATTAGCCGGGTATGTTTTTTCACTCTTTTCATCATAATTAAATAACCTTTTCTTGATTATTATTTTTTTTTGGCATTTGGTGAATTGAAACAGTCTTTGATGTTTGCAGGCCCTTGGTGATGTTGCTGTATCCATTGTAAGAAAAAAGATGGAATATTTTTTGTTGGTTTTTATTGTTTTAAACATTTCTTTAGTTAATTCTTGTTCGTGTGTTAGATATGCATCGGTTATAGCAATAGAGAGTCCAGGAAAGGAAGACGATGAACAATGGCTTGCTTATTGGATCCTATATTCATTTCTGACTTTAACAGAGATGGTGTTTGAATCCGTCTTAGAGTGGTAACAGCTTAACAAAATCTGTTAATATTATAATCTTTATTTATATTAATTGGTTAATGGAGTATTATGTTTTCATTAATGGAAACTGTAGGATACCTATTTGGTACTCGGCGAAGCTATTGTTCATAGCATGGCTGGTTTTGCCGCAGTTCAAGGGAGCCACTTTCATATACGAAAGGCTTGTGAGGGAACAGATTGTTAAATATGGGATTTTGAGAGGCCGTCATCCTGATGGGAAGGGCAAGAAGAAAGTATGCTAACAGAATCTGATTGTGCATTCGACAGATTCTATATTTGTATCAGACATTTATTCGGAATTTGTTTATATGGATTTGCAGGGGGAACAAGAGGCTTCCTGAGGAAAAAAGGATGGATCTTGCGTTCCTTTGCTTGCTTCCTACTTCAAGCTCTGATACTGGTTGTATAACATGGTTAGCTTCTGCACAAGTTTCTGGGTTTTAGATCTTTGAGTACGTGTTGTAGTCATTAGCAATGGAATGATTATGAAAAAGAAGAAGAAGCTGTGATTATGTTTGCAGTAATCCAATGTTCAAGTCTCAAAAGTAGCGGCATCTATACGCCATATGTAAGTACATTAATTTTAATGTCCTTCAAAATTTAACACCCTCGAAGAAACAAAACACCAATAATTTTATCGTGGCTTAAGAACAAATTTTATATAATAGATCTAATTTATCATTTCGATTATATAATTTTTTATATCAATTTAGCCATCGAAGTTGTTTACAATGTTGATCTTAACCCTCGAAGTCTGTTTTAACTAACAAAATCATTAGTTTTTTGTGTTTAGCAATCAATTTTTAAATTAGTTAATATTATTGATGTGGATGATTTCTATTAAAAAATAAAATATTTAAATATTACTAAATACAACGATTAAATTTTTTTCAAAATTTTAATATAATCCTAAATATCACTAAAATAAATAATAAAATTTTAAAAATTTGTTTTAATTGTTGAGTTTAATAAATATTTTAACATAATTCTTAATCTATAGATGTGGAAGACTTATAGTTTTGTTATTTAAAAAGATCAATGAACTTCGAGAGCTGGGATGATCACGTAAATAATTTCGAGAGTTAAATTAATGTATAAATTCATAAAGACGAAAATGATATATAAAATTTATTACAGGAGCAAAAGTACCCAATTCATTTTTTCAACTTCAAAATCAGTTTAAATAGATAAAGTTTGCGACTTTAATATTTGCTCTGTTCTTATTTTACAACAATTAACAAAGAAAGATGATTGTAGACATTGATTTTAGTAGGCAAACCAGGGCTTACATCCATTCAAAATAAAACCAAACCAGTCCTAAATCTATACCCAACACCCAAACTGGGTGTAAAGGGATACAACTGTAATATTAACGATATCGATGAAATTAATAATTAAGAGATCATTATTATTTTTTGTTCTGATTTTGAATATCGTATATGTGAAATATAAAAAATACATTTTCTTTTATCTTTAAGTTTATTTAATAGCTACGTTGGATTGATAAGCTCCCTGTATTAACATTGGCGGTTTGGGGCTAATTGATAAGTGAAGAAATCGACATTGTTGGCCGGAAATGAAACAATCTTTAATCTCTACTTGCCGCACGTCCAAGGCAGTATCCGATACTGCTGCTTCTCCTCTTGCCGCCTGGTACGCTATCCCCACATGGTCGTGTATGAAGTTCTGTCCCCTTTTTGCCATATAGATTTCAACCAACAACAAACACACCTTTCTGAAAGCCAAGAGTCTAAGCATGCGTCTTTTCTGGACCTTGCTCACAACCCTTCATTCACTAGCTGGGTATATATTTTTTTTCACTCTTTTCATCGTAATTAAATACCCTTCTCTTCATATTTTGCATTTGAACTGAAACTGCCTTATTATGTTTGCAGGCCTGTAGTGATGTTGCTATATCCATTGTAAGAATAAAAATGGTCTTTTTTGGGTGGTTTTTTTTTTTAATCATTTTGAACGTTTCTTTAGTAAAGTTCGACTTTTTTTTTTTTTGCTTGTGTATTTGATATTCATCGATTATGGAAATAGAGAGTCCAAACAGGGAAGACGATGAACAATGGCTTGCTTATTGGATCCTATATTCATTGCTGACTATAACAGAGATGGTGTTTGAGTGGTAACAGCTTAACAAAATTTGTTAATATCATATATTTATGTATATTAATTGGTTAATATTATATAAATGGGAATTGTAGGATACCTATTTGGTACAGGGTGAAGCTAGTGTTCATGGCATGGCTGGTTTTACAACAGTTCAGGGGAGCCTCTTTCATATACGAAAGGATCTCGAGGGAACAGATGATTAAATATGGGATTCTGAGACGCCATTCTCCTGATGGAAAGGGCTAATAGAGATTTGTGCAGCTCATCGTCCCAAAAAAATGTATGCTAATAAAATCTGGCATTCGAATATTCGATATTTGTATCTAACATTTATTCAGAATTTGTAGCTAATTGGTTTAAATATATTTTTTGATCGAGTAGATAGATATTATACTTTTAAGGTGAATGTCGGAATCCGAATTTACACAAGGTGTGACACCATGAACATCCTTGACTATTAGATCAATTAGTGTGATTTAAATATTTTATTTTTAGCTTCTACCAAAACGTTGAAACAATGAAGCTTTATCATGCAAAAGTTACAAATGGTTTTATTTAATTGCCCTTAATTCCTACTAACAACAGCAAAGTGAAGATATATAATTGCATTTATAGGGGTTTTAAGTAAAATAAACAAAAGCATCAACTGAAAAATCCTAAACTCTGATGTTATTGGCATCCGTTGCATCACTAAATTGACCTAAAACACGTTAACTTATGTTGCCGGTTTGTGATTGTACAGAACTGGGTTCCAACAATTTAGCCGTACCGGTATTATGCGTCGTTCGTAAGATATTAATCCGCTCGCCGAGGATATGCTCTTTGAATTCATCGATTGCGGCGTATTCCTTCTCCATTAGCAGCTCCGCATCCTCGCAATGCTTGACTTTAGACTGCAACTTCTTTAACTAAATTCAAGGCCAAATATTAGGCACGGGTTATGGCAACATTCAGTGAACGATGAAAGTGAAACAGATAACTTCAACCCACTTGTGCTTCAATTACGGTTGCGACTAAATGTTCAATCTCCCTCTCTTCCTGCAAAGCTAATAATTTGGCACGAGCAGCAGCTGCTCCGAGACCTGTTGCAACTGCCGCTCTAATTCGCAACGGTAAAGGTACATCACTATTTTTCAGATGTATCTCTTGAGATTCTGCAAGAGTGTATTTTCTCAGAAATTCTAATTATGACTAGGAATGAAGGGCAGGGGCTCCAATATAAGTATGCGATGTCTATGTGCTCAATGCTAAGTGACAACCCATATAAAAAACCAATATATCATTAACAAATAACTGGCAAGAAGCATTATGAACAACATCTACTTTTGATCCCATAAGCTGGCAAAAAAAAAAAAAAAAGCGATGTTGCAGTATTGTATCCAAAAGTATATATACCTGATGGACTAGACCTCTCCTGGATCTCTGATTCTCCGATAGCATCAGCTCTAAAACATAGAAGAGAATGAACACGTCAAAACGCCATAATGATGCAAAAGCTGACAGTAAATTTAGATACAAATGGAAAGAAAATAAGAATGAAAATATTTACACAACCTTAAAGTAGGAGATAGCGACCCGTTAGTTAAATCAATCTGATCACCATAAAATATTTCCCTCGGACATGACATTTCATCAGAAAGCATTGCAACTGCAGCTTCAGCTGCAGCAGCAGTGATTTGAGGGTCAACCATGGTAGAGATGCGAGCAACCTGTAGGAAACACAATCAATTATGTATAATCAAAATCTTCAAAGAATGCTTGTATTTATACATGCAACAAACTGAATATAAAGTCGGATAAAATGAAGACATCATGTATTAGTAAAATAGCCTGGTACAAAATTTTGAAGGATAAAACGTGGAGTAAAACTCTTACCTGCTTCATGAGAGAACTATCAGCATCTGAAATGGAAGCAGTGCGTTTTTTCTTCGATGGAGGTTCTTGATTCTCAGAATCCCCATTCTTTTCATTCTCAATTGTGCCATCATAACCTTGATCCTCGTTTATAATATTCTCTTGATGCTCGGATGAAGTGAGACAAACTGGTTTCATGCCAATCATGTTCATACTCGTACTGCTGGAATAGCCCCCTCCTTTGGCGGAATCAATCAAAGACTCACCAAAAGGCAGCTCAATGAGCTTTGTAATACAATCAAGTTTAGACTTGGTTTGAACGTTCTGAGCAACAAGATCCCAGTCGTCCCAGTGTTTCATGACAGAATCCAAGAGAAGAAGAGTTTCCTCTTCCGTCCAGACAACACCATTGGTCGCACTCTTCTCACTGCAATCTTTCAACTCGAAATCATCCATAGATTTACCCTCCCCATAATTTCCACTTTTGAAGCATTTAACGCAGACTACAAAATTAACCTGCAGATGCAATACATATATCACTCGACTCCAACACAAAAAATCAAGCTGACTACAAGGCTTCAACTTTGAGCAGGTAATTACAAACAACAAACATAGAGATAATATATATACACACATTGCCACACAGCTAAACTAGATAGGGTGTTGCAAATCAAACATGAATTCGGTAAGAAATGTAGCTAATAAAGCTTAGAAAAGAGACCAAGTTTAGAACAAGAAACATATGGTTACAAAATTACACATACAAAACCACTTTACTAGGAGAACTCGAACCCTCGTATCAAATGCTAAGCATAAATTGCCCATAAGCAAACCATTGTTCTTTGGGATAGTTCAGTGATAAAAACAATTTCAAACAAAAATTTAAGGCAAAATACCTTTCAAATTTTTATTAGAAAAAAAAGAATTACCTTTTTATATTCATAATACCCAGAATCACAATTATCTCCACAATTAGCACAATGCAACCTCTTCAAATCACCAAAAACATCAGAATACGAGGCCAAGTGAGGCAGCTGGACTCCACTCTCTTCAACCCCATCACCACTCTTCTTCCCCTTAACAACAGGCGCCAAAAGTGGCCGCAAGGAATTGGGAGTGGCGACGACCCGGACTCCGTTTGGAGCCCCGTCTTCGACCCGAACCCTATCATCGCTATCGGAACCTTGGCGGGGAGGAGGAGGAGCGACGAAGTTGATCAGACCCCAGGTTTCCAAGAAACGGAAAACCTTGTGGAGCAAAGTGACGTCGCCGATGAGGGATTTGCGGACTTCGGTAAAGGTGAGGCGGCGAGAAGGGTCTTCCCGGTATTTGTTGATGATGAAATCCCTGTACTCTTTGTACACTTTGGGGGTTCTCGAGATCGAGCTTCCTTCGAAGAATTCTTTCAATGCTTGCCTCTCTGTTTCGTGAATATCGTTCCAAGCAAACCAACCTATACGAAGAAGAAAGAGAAGAAAGAAAATGAGATTGATTTGTTAGGGTTTTGGGGGAAGGGGAATTAACGAATTGATTAAATAATTAGCTAGGGACTTACTGGAGTAGCTTGGTATGGTGTAGAGATCGAGCTCTGGTTCTTCCGGTCTAGTTGAATCCGGGTTCGGGTCATGTCGAGGCTTGTTCTCCATTCCCGGATCCTTGGTGAGTTTTGGAATTCGGATTTTGCTCTCTTATTATTGGCATCAATGTGGAGTAAGAATGGGCTTTTCTACTTCAACAGCAGCATACACTAATTTAAGTAACCGACCAATCAAAATGTAACATTGATCGTACTTGCATCTTGAGTTATTCATGTAATCATCAGGATCGTACTTGATAAATATTGAAATTGAATAGATTCAAATCGAACAAGATCTCAACTCGAATTCTTAATGAGTCGAAACTAACCACTTAATATTTGACTCGAAAAACTCGTAGGCAGCTTGAAAATATAATATATTAAGAATTTATTTTTTAAAAAAAAACTATTAATAATATTAAAATTTATATGTTGATTTTTTTAATACAATAAGGTTTTCATGTATTTAAGGTTTATGTTCGAGTTTAAGTTTGAAGGTTCAATTAAGTTAAGTTTAAGATTGTTTTCTTTTCATTTCGAGCTTTTACGAGCTTCAGTTCATGATTTCGAGTTCGATTCGAGCTTGAAAATTTTAAACTCGAGAGTTTTCGAGTCGATTCGAGCTCAACTCGACCCGTTTACACTGCCTACTTGCATTTACTTCTCATGTTTTTTCCTTATGAATTTATTTGAGGAAATGATCGAAATAATGTCTTTTAAAAAAATATTTACCAAATTAATCACCTCTGATACTATTTTCCAGACTATGCCAAAATGAACAGTACTTTAGAGTACTCCAACAAGACTGCATGGAGTCTTTACTTAAGTCTTAAAGACTCCAAAATTACTATAGTTTTTAGCTTTGGCAAAATTGAAAATATATGGATTATTGTGCATCTTCCGCTTGAAAAATTAAAATCACACGGTATTCCTGACGTCCTCTCTTTTACACTGTTGCAATTAGTCTAGATTATAAAATAATATGACGAGAGTCTTATATGGGGAATTTTCCCCCACTGCTATACATGAGTAAGAAAGCCAATTTATTTGTCCTTTTTCATTTTTAAGGATTTTTTCACATTAATTATTTTTTTATAAAAAAATTAATATTAACACCAAATGAATAACAACAACAATAACAATAATAATAGCTCGCATTAGGGAATTAATCATCGAAATAAAAAATGTGAAAGAAGTACAAATCAAATTATCTCAATGGTTAAATGAATGATTGTTATCCTTAGAGGTAACGAGTTTAAGCACCATGGACTGCAATAATATGATTGAACATTCATTGTTAAATGATTTAGAATATTTAAAATATGTAGGCAAAAGGATAACTTTTACCCTTGTAGTAAACTCAATTTATCATTTTCGCTCATATCGTATTTTCGCATCAATTTAACCCTCAAAATTGCTCAATTATATCATTCCATACCTCACCCCCTAACTTAAAACCATAAATTATAAACCCTAAAATCCATAACCTCTAAATCATAAACTATAAACTTTAAATCCTAACTTGAGGTTTATAATTTAGGGTTTAAGTTAATGGTACGGTATAGAATGATGCAATTAAATAACTTTGATGACTAAGTTAGTACGAAAATGATAAATTGAGTCTACTACAAGGACAAATATAACCTTTAAACCAAATAAATATTATTTTATAATCACGTTAATTTAATAAAAAATATGTGAGGAAATAAATAATAAATATATCATAAAAATAAGATCTAAATTACATTAAATAGAATGCGCGTAAAATAGCAAAATAATAACTAGCCCCTCTAAAAAAAAAGGCGTAAACATTCAT